TATCCCCAAATAAAATACTACTTAAGTGTGCTAGCTATGCTATTTGCGCATGCAAAAGCATAAGGCACCACATTCGACGTGAATCTCCCGGATCTGTGTTGCAGGTTCATTGCCAATGCTGCCTCTCAGCAACGCTTAGGTCTGCGAGGGTGGTGCATGCTGTGGTGCAGTCCAAATTCTGCCCTTTAAAGCTGAAACTGCAGCAGGTGCACGGGGCTTTTGGTTGCAGTGCTTGCCTAAGCGCATGAGATCCAGAACCGCTTGCCGTATCGTGCGATCAAAATGTTGGCAACACGCAGGCGCAACTCACCACTGTATGGGCACATGGCCTTGCACTCAGGACGGGACGACGCGGCCGCTCAGAGCCTCAAGCACACGGATGGCGGCCAGCTGCACATGAGGCACCTCCAAGAGAAGGAAGGGTTAAGCAAAGCATGCAGGGTACCATCGAAGCCTGCAGCATGATTTGCCGAGTCTGGTGAAGCCCCGGCTTGTCAGTTTGCATTTCCCGTGCCTTGTCGTCTAGTGCTGTGTTCATGAGGCGCGGCAGCACCTCCCAGCAGTGGGTGTAATCGGGCAAATTTCCATTTCCTGGTACTAGTGACTAGTGCCAGAACACATGAAGGAATGCATTGAGCCCCCTCTGCTGCAAAGTATTGTCGTAAACTTGGGGGGGCCCGCCTCTTTTAAGCAAGCAATGGCAGGGCACGCCTTCTCTGCTGGGCTAGGCGCGCTGGGGGAGGAAGCACCCTCCTTGGCCAAGGCAGGTTCGGCAGCATCAGCAGCTCTTCAAACTAACATCACTGCGAGCACAGCTCAACACAGGGATTAGTGCTATGCTCCCACCAGGAAATTCTGGGCCGGGCTCTCCGCTACCGCTGATGTTGCAATGCTGACCCCCTAGGTGCGCAGCAGAAATTGGAGATGCTGCCTGACAGCCAGCTTGTCATCGCACATTAGGAACCTCTGCGGTCAGAGTCGCCTGCCTCATCCTGCGCAGGCTCCACAGACAAGAGCGTTAGAGCTGCCAGCTCTCTGACGTCTTCGTCTACGTCCTGGCATGTCTGGTGCATGATGTTTGGTTCTCGATCTTCTTTAGTCTACGAGTGCCTTGTCAAGATCTCCAAAATTAGAAGCTGAATATGCTCCAGATATGGCGGATTATGGCGGACTCTCGCTTGATGCCCTGAATCATCGCTGGCACTCTTGCGGTCCAGCAAAGCAGTGCCCACGGCAGTCGTGTGCTCGGATGCCAGGGGGCCTGGAGGCACACACAACAACGCCTTTTATTGTCTTTCCCAGTGTTGCTATAGTTGTTACCAGGATGTTCGCCCGCTGGTCCGATCTGGTCGATCATCATGCCTACTGCTCTGCAATTGCAATGCTGAGATGTTTAGCTATCCCATCTTCTCTCCTAAGCTGGACATACCCTCTTCCCGCACGTGGTACATATCCTCTACAGGCACCCAAATATCATGTAGCCTTGTAGCACGCATTTGGCAGAAGAGGGGGCTTGATCTTCCGGTCATCCCTCTACCTATCACTCATCCATATCAGTTCTATAAGAGACTCTATATGGGGGTTTCCCAAAATTAGGGGTACCATTTTGGGGGTCCCCATAATAAGGACTGTAGTATTTTGGGGTCTATATTGCGGTCCCCCTATTTAGGGAAACTACCATGTGACTTTAAACACAACTTTACAAGAGTGTTAATTCAGGAAGGCAGAGGGGCAAAATTAGCTTGCCTTGCACTTTCAGGGCCTCCACCGCCGCCAACCTCGGCCCAAAAGATTGTAAGGACTTGGGGCTCTATGTGTAAGAAAAGGATCTGGCTATACCCCACTCACAAATTGGGACCCTATTCTAATCACATGATAGTTATGGACCATTTTCGGGGTCGGAGTTACCCAGATCCTCTTATTCATGAAGTAGCTTGGTGACATAGGGGACTTAAAAACACCTACGTAGATGTAAGGAATGTTTGCGACTGTGCGCGGATGAGACAGAATCAATTTAAAGACAATGGGGGATCATGTAGTAGGAATGAAACAAGACCAAGGGATCTGTGGCGATTGTAGGGGTGTTCGGAAGATTGGAGGTCTTACTTCTGGGAGAACGTTCCGCCGCTTTGTGAAAACCGTGGGTATTGCGCAGCACCCCAAAAGACTCTTTTGTAAACTCCAGTGCAGCAAGTACTTTGCGGGGGTGTCCTCCTGCTCTTTGAAGGCTTTAGCTTCAGCGCGTTGCCGGCTGCGAAGATCAAGTTATCGCTGTGCACGTGTTTCGTTAGATCTCGTCATGCATACCTACTCCCGTTGTCAAAATGGAGGGTAAGTATGGCGTTGAGGGGTCGTCCCTCGCATGCGATTTTGATAACCGCTTCTCGAGGCGACAACCAAGAAATGACACAAACGATTCAGAAAAACCGTCAGAAAGCGCGGAGTACTCCCTGCCTTCCATAGACATATCATGAAGGGTGCGCTCACCGAGGACATACTGCAAAGTCCGGCACAAACACGCATCACCACATTGCGCGGGTTTCAAGGGTAAATGAAGGTTGGGGGGAATACACAGGAAATGTTACACCCGGAACCTCAAACTGGATGCCTCGAAACTGCCATGTGACAATCTTGCAGGGCCCTGGCTTTGTTGACAAGTCGTCGTCTTTCCCTGGAGCCAGGGACATCTGCATTCCATATGTTGAAGGGGCTTCAGTGTTTTGCCATTGTCCTTTCATCTAACTTCCACGCTCGACCGACGCCCCCTTCCAGAAGGTCCCAGGCCGATGGCCATAGGATGCGGGAAGAGCGATGTCTCAAAAAAAGCAAGGCCCTGCATGACAGATCATAAGAAACGAGAAGACATTGGAGTCAGTCGTGGCGAAGCAGCTGTTCCCTCAGAATCCTGGTGTCCAACCTCCATACGTATACTGAAGAACTGGACCCTTAGAGGTTTCCCCATTACCACATAAAGGGACCGCAGTTGTGAGACATCCCACACAGAGGGCCAGTGTCGGTCAAGGGAGGCCGAGGCAGCGCCTTCAGCGCTGAGCTCAGTAAGGAGAAGCCCTGTCTCTCAGCTTTGGTAAGCCTACTCTTTGCCAGATGCCAAGTTGGGACTTTTTCTGAATGTGCTTTTGGGCCCGAGCAAAATCTGCGGTATTTCGAGGGCTGGGGAGGGAGGAATTGAATGCTGAGAAACTGGGGAACCACAACTTGGGGGGGGAAGTGCTAGATGCCGCCCTTCAGGCAGCGGAAGCACCACTAGATTCGCCGTAGCCGAGCCATCACTTCGGGACCTGCGGTAGAGCGCAGCTTGCGTCTGGAAGAACGCAGGACAAGTCCAAGCTGAGCACACTTCATGCAGCGGGGGAGCAGAAATCCTTGAGGGTCTGCTGGATGTCTTCCAGTGTCCAAGTCAAATGTCTCACCTAGCAGACGCCAACAGTGATGCCTGGTGGAGATTCGGGTCCCAACATATGGTACTTTCCGTAAGTAGGGGTCCATTTTTGTCCATTACCTCAGTGTATCCCGTCCTGTAAATTGAAGTGGGCCAGTCGGGCCTTGAGCTGGATAGCGACGATGTCGGCTTTCCTTGGGCTTCAAATGGGATTTCTCCAGATCATGAATGTGTGGAATTCGGTAATCTAGTATCCTACAACCAAATAATATATACTGTAGTACAATCCAATATCATACAATCTCCGTATGCCTTCAAGCCGCGAGACATCTCCTCGCAACCTTGGAGGTGGCATAGGGTTTAGGGAGTACCTTCCTCTCATGGCTGCTTGTGTTTTGACAAGCGTGTCTCCAAAACCAGCAAGAAGCTGCATCAGACCTGTCACCAGCTCATCTGCTGACAGCTCACCTCAGCAACGCTCTAGGAGGCTGCCCTCAAATTAGAGAGACCCAGAGAGAGGCCGGCAAGCTGATAGCCCAAGAGGCTGCTGCAAGTCAGGCTGCTGTGAACATTCACTGCCGGTGCATTGCCCGAGGCACCTCCCATGTCCACATCCAAGATATCAAACATGCGAAACTTGTCCGACATATCCTTGGTCACAATGCCAACACTTTGGATACGCCCTTCTGTCATCTGACCCTCCATTGTTGCATCTATGGCTCGACGTCGGCCTCCTCCAGCATGGTAACGAATTCAGGATCTTGAAGCCAAACGGTGAACCTGAGTCCCGAGGCAGCTGGCCATGCGTGCAGGTCACAGCACTATAATATGGAAAGGCATCAAAAGGATGTGCCACTTTCAGGAAGGGTGCATGTCTTTAGAGATGGAAACCTGCACATGCAGAAGAATTCAAGTGTAATGACGAGTCGAAGGACCTCAAGCAATCCTGATTTTACTTAACTTCAAGCTTTGGAGTTATATGAGGCTCCAGTTCGTCCAGTTCTCTCAAAATATCCATGCTCCTGCCTGGTCTTCCTGCAAGATCTGGTACGTGGCCTCAGCTATCTTCTTCTTCGTCGCCTGATAGGAACGCACCAACTACATGCATGGCTTGCTGCACACGGATGCCATGCGTCCCATCCTGGAGCTATTGACGCAACCCTTATCCTGCTAGGGTGGAATCTCTGCGCTAGGGCACCCATCGTGGCCATCATACGCCCCATCTTCTCCTCTTCTCTGAACTTATCGCGGCGCAATGAGAGGGCAGAAGGGGCCACATATCTTCTCAAGCAACACGGTACGAGTCTGCTTTCCGGGGGTGATGATGGGGGCGCGAACAGAAGCTGGGCCTGATCGCGGTGGTAGCCTTCTTCAGTGATGTGGGCAAGCTTCCTGGGCTCATCTTAAGGTTGTGCAATTTCGTTTCTGCATCATCTAGCTGCTTTAAGCTGCATGTGACGCCTTTGACGGGGTAATGCATCTTTTCAGTCTGCTTACAAGCAGGCAAGAACCGACAATGAATAAGGGCCCTAGACCGTGATACAAGCCCGAATCAAGTGCGCAAGTGCTGTCTCAGAGGGAAGTTTCTGCTCCTGTTGTCAGATCGTGAAGGCCGGTTTTTTTTCGCCTGCTACTGAAATTGATACGAGCAATAACAAGTGCTGTCTACAAACTACTCTTGTGGGAGTAGGTAATATCCCTACATCATCCTTGTAGAATATAACCCCTATATCATCCCTATGCCTCCCCAGATCCCAGGGCTACTTCCACCGCCACCACCACCAGCAAGCGACTGCTGGGCAGACTCGCTGAGGCGGTCGAAGAGGTTCCGCTCCGACTCTGAAGCCGGTTCGCAGAGGAACCTGATGCTTAGGGTTTAAGGCAAACCGCTTTGTAGGGGGTATAGGGAGTGTATAGGGACTATACAGGGATGGATGCAGCGGTTAGATAGGGATCTTACCCCAATAGTGGAGTATCAAGTGGAAAACAATATGATGAGCGAGATTTGTTTGCTCTTGCTTGGCTGGGGAATGAGATGGAAACTTGGGCTTTATAAGCGCTGATAGAAATTATGTTATGTACGAGCCTACACAATCATCAATGCGATTGGTAGGCCTGGCTAATGCACCTGTGCCATGATTATGCAAGGTATCTAGAACCATGTATTTATTGTCAAGTCTAAGGCCTCAGTCACATCAGTTTTCGTTTCCACTCAAGATCCCCTTAAACGGATCGATGCGACTGGGTCACATCATGGCGGAGAACGATATGGGATAAAATTCTTCGTAAAAACGAAATGCGCTAAAACCCTGAGCAGGAGCTAGGATTTGTGAGAGGATCCCTAATTCTAATTGGATATTTTGGGCATCCTCAGTAACAAGTGGGACTTTCCACTGGAGGGCTCGTATTGGTAGAAGCCCTTCGCCTGCAGGATCGGAAGCACGAATCTCGTACTGTCCCTTCAGCTGATGAGTGGGTCGGCATGCCATGCCGATAAGATTTGCACCAGCATCTGCCTGCAAGCCCTGCTTGTTGACGCCGTGATCATACCAACCACTCAGCAAGTTGAGAACCCGGGCAGGGGTCCTGCGACACCTGCAATACCTCCTCCTGCTCAAGATCGGATACCTCTGACAACACCTCGTTACAGACACTGGCATCATCACCCCACACCGCACTGTGGCCGCTCATCACAAGTCGCTCGTCAGCCTCGGACTCTGGACACTGACAAAAGCTCCGACCGCACCTACCCCACGCGCCAGCGCCGTGGAAGGGACCCAGCCACTCCCCACCGCGCGAATAATTGCTCGCTGGCACCGGAAAGCTGGCAGAACGTCATCGCGTCTGTACTTCTCCACACATCCCGAGGATTGGCGGAGGCGATGATGTCCCTGGGCCGCGCGTTCTTCGAGACCAAAACTAATCTGCAATCCCCAGGTCAAGGGAGCAGTTTTCAAACTATGGAGTGTAAATCTGCGCGCACCACTCACTTGTATAGGGAGGTGTAACGCACCAAGCATCTACGAAACTGCGACAAAGCCGTAGAATAAGACATCGGCCCTTTACTGGAGCTTACCAGAAAGTCCTGCATTGGCTGCTCAATATGAAGTTGCCGCAACGTCTCCCTGGGTGGCTCCGCCCAGTGGAAGCCCGTGGCACCAGCCAGCGGGGCACGTCTTACTGCGCCAGCACCAGCCGCGGAGTGACCCGGCATCGACCAGCAGGGCTGACAGGCCCATGCGTTGCGCGTCAGAGAAACGCAGCCCTGACCACAGCATCAGCAGAAAGCAGGCAATCAGAAACTTATCTGCCATCTCCTCGCTGGACAACGCAGCCAACTCAAGTTCACACACAGTGAATAATCGGCAGAGGGAACAAGCAGAAACCATTTCTGCGCGGATAACCAAGCAGCGACCACAGGTCCACGCAGAATGCAAGAAAAGGCATCTAGCTCCAGCTTGTGCGTGGTGAAGCGCAAAGCGCGCACTACACCCCTGGCCGCGCCAGCCCGCCGGCTACCGCTATCGCAGCTTAGGCCTTCAGCCAAGGCCTCAAGAAAATCAACCACCGCTGGCAAATCAGGGCACCCTATGGTAATCTCCGAAGAATTGCAGAAACCAGGCAACGCCGCCAACCACTTGGATGACGCTTCAGGGTACTTGGAGCACGATCCAAAAGCAAGAAGGTCAACTTGTCCTGGGGTAGCCAACCATGGACTGTAGGACAGAACTACTGTCCCGCACAACCTCCACCAGGGACACAAGCAGCAACGCCAGCTGGCGTCTCTTTGCAACTTCGACCGCTGCCATGCTACAGGTTTCTGCCGCCGGCACAAGTTGCACGGATGCGACATGGACGCCAATGCCACCTGTAGAGGTCTTAGTTCCAGAGCTTACCTTAGCTTTAGGCAATGGCAAGGACAGGGCGGCTTGCTCTGCCACAGGCCCCAAAACCATAATCCCATGGACTACTGGTCGAGGACGGTCAATAGTCGACGGCGATGCTGTCATGGCCTTGCTTGTTCAGCTGGAAGGATTCGGGCGCGGTTTGTCTCCACCAACCCTATTGCAAGAGTAAGGGGACGACCGCACCTTCATCTGCAGGCTGCCCGCTGCATATCACAGGCACAAGAGCAAGGAAGAGCAAACGGGAGCAAGCGGGAGCAAGCTGAAAAACGCGGAAGAATCGCCACTTTCCCATCGACACCTGACCAACAAATGCGACCTGACACAACAAGCACCTGGAAAGCAGTGTACATGCAGGGGGGTACAGGGTTCGGGGTGCGCACTGGCCATATCCAAACCTACCCCAGCGCAAGCCATCCGAGTAGATAGTAAGGGCTTGCGGGCTGCACATCTTGAGAATGTGACTCGGAATGTGATTCACTTTTGCCACCTTCGCAAATCGCTTCTCCCGATTCGCTTTCCAAGCACTCAACCAGGAGTTACGCCCGGAAATGCCTGGCAGCATCCGTGGTCCAACAACCTGTTCGTTGAACACCTCCCAGAGGCCGAACTGCTTGGAGCACATGGGTTGCAAATGTGTGCTGTTGTAAAAAGCTGCGACAGGAGCAACTTCTGCTCTGCGGCCTTTATTGAAGCAACTCAGAATGTAATTCTGACAGCCTTCCTGTGTCCCTGTGTCCCGAGGTCATGCTCCTCATCGCTTAAGGAGCCTTGGTTTTTGCCATGGGAAAGAGCAGCTGCGACCAAAAGAGACTGCATAGCGCCCAGCCAAAAAATGGGTTCCAACACAATCTTTCATCGTTGGGGGGCCTGGCCTTGGTCCCGTAGGCCGGGAGCAGGAACAGACGGCACCGGATGTCTCTCTGCCACGATTGCAACTCAGGACTTAGATGGAGTTAATATGAAGCTCCGAAAGTAGAAACGGGCCAAAGATTCAACGTCTGCAGCAAACCTAGTAAGCGAGAAGCCCAGTGTGCGCCGGGGATTTGTGTTTTCCGAATGCACGTGATTTTTCCTTATCCAGCTCTGCACGCTTCAGCTTCGAATGGGAAACGCCAAGTACTGCTATCGATTACCAAAAATTGATGCGACCCTCCGTGTAAGCCTCTCCCCAAGGGATTAACAGAAACCCATGCAACTAAGGACCGCGACTGTAGGCATCTATCTACCTATGGGAAGCTCATACTACATTCCGCGTGCTATCTATACGAGTTTGCTAATTGCATGGTGCAACACAGTGCAGTAGCTGAAGAGAAAGCTTTAGGATTCAGGGCTTGTCAGCAATGATCGGCTTGATGCTTCCTGTAAGGAAAACTGGAATGACAAGCTAAGATAATGAACTCGCGGAGGATTTACAGCAAACCCTTGGCTGCACATCACTCCCAGCAGCTACATGAGGGCTACACTATTTTATTAGTCAGTCCAGAGCATAAGCCACGAAAAGCTAGCACCCAGCTCCCAGAACCGCAAGCAATAGCCGCAGCACACCTTGACTCCAGAGATTGCTTCCTAGCACTGCTCCATCTGCCCCTGTTGCTGCAAGGAATCCTGGAGTGCCCTTACGATTACGTACCCGCAGCCCGGTAGTTGAGTGCAGTTTGGGTGGTGCAGGGTAGCGTCCATGAATAGTTGTACTGGCATCAATCGTTCAGTGCACCAACCAAAACATACCCATCAGGCTCATAGCAAAGGCATGCTTACTTGCAGAAGCCTCAGCTGCCGGCCATGTTTGTTGCTTCCTTCATTTGTTCGAGTCCAAAGGCAGAAACTTATTAGGACGTATTATGGGCTATGGTGGTCGTATGTGGTCGTTTTGCTATGTGTTGCTGGTGTTGCTACGCACCATTGCTAACAGCAGCGCCTGAGCAAAGGAGTGTTCTGCGTCAGCTGGGGTTCTATTAGTGACTGAGGACAGAAAAACGGAAGGTCCTACCGTGCCGCTTTGCATTGTTTGCTTGCCTGAATTGTGGCTCAAAGTCAGGGCACCGCCGGATGTGGAGCTGGAGGTCGGTACACACAGCAGCAGAAGAATCGCCTGGAGAAAAACACAGCAACTTTCGCTGATACCCCGCAGGGAATGCAGGACACCTTTTCCTTCAGCGCATCTTGTACAAGGAAACCGCAACAGCAATCAAAACTGCAATCAGGGTTGGATGGAAGCATCTGTGAGTATAGCCAAGTTGCCAATCTCTCGCATCTTCCGCTGGCCTTGTGACTTCAGTACCTTCGCGCAGGGGTACAGAAGTGCTCGGATTGTAGCACACCACTGACGCTACGCTGTCGGATCAGCTTTGCTCGTATTGCTAGCGCTGCTTTTGGTGCGGTGGGCGGGGGATCAAAAAAGTCAAATAAGAATCAAAAGGCAGAATCGGGGATCACAAATCAAAAGAAGGATAAACAAAAATCAAGATCAGGCTTACGCCGGCTTACGCCAGACGGTGTCAAAAGGCAGATGGGTCGGGGTGGCGAGTGGCGGGGGGGCACCCCCCCCCCCAGCTCGGTGGTGTTCTAGTGGCGGGGGCTGCCAACCCCCGCTGTGTCAAGCTTGAACCCATGTTATGTCCAGTAGTCCATTAGTGAACCCCAACAACGGCCACATTCCTCAACCGTGTGCAAATGCACGGGGAGGGGGCGGAACCCCCACCCCCCAACACGCCTGCACTTTTTGAACATGAGCTTGTATCATGTCTAGCATTGAACCCTCATCAACAACTGTCAATGGTGTGAAAGATGATGAAATGTAAATACGCAGCATCTAAAAACATGATGGGACATGATGGCAGGTGATCAGAAGTTGGAATTATCATGGAAGGCGAAGAGAATAATGAATCATGCTGAAACATGGTGCAACATGATGGAAACGATAGAAAAAGAACCCAATAAAATGATATAAACTGTTGAAAACTTTGACAGTGAAAGAATGAAAAATTACCTGGTTGCTCATAGCGGACAAATGACACGTGACTTAACTGTGAAAAGTTGATGATCGGAACGATGAACATCATAAATCTTGATGAACCGAAATGTGATTAAAGCGGATGAACAACTGCAGGGAATCATAGAAGATGATGGAATATGATGAAATCATGCTGAAAATGATGGAATATGATGGAAATTTCATGACCTTCCTCCCTCCCTCCCGCCCTCCTTTGCTTGCTTCTTCCTTCCTTCCTGTCTACCTTGATTTGTCGTTGCTGGTGGCCTGTTGCTCGTGGCAGCGGGAGAGATTTTCCCTTTGATTGCTCTCTTGTGGATTCCTTTCCTTGTTTGATCCTGATTTGATTTGTTCATCCTCATTTCATTCTTCTTTGAGCCACATCCCGCAGAAAGCCTGACCTCAGAGCGCCACCAAAACACCGTAGCAGGCGGCATTCAATGCAGCCAAGGCTCGTTGTCAAGAAACACAGCCTCAAAGAACAGCAAACAAGACTGAATCGCAGCACAAGGGGACGAACATAGAGAATACTTTTCGCGTAAACACACCTTATCAACCATGCTACCTTAATCATAACTTTCAGTTGGTCAGACACCCCTCCAATCAAGCCAAGGTCACCATGATGAGATTGAAGAGGCCCACCTCAATTTGGAGTCACATCAGCTGGCTGAAATCTGCCTCCAGCTTGCCTTTCTGAGTGCTGAGCACGCGACAGCCACAATCCTCAGGGGGTCAGAGAGAGCGGTAGTTCATTCACATCATAGGCTGGGCAGACTGATTTCCAGTGTCAGATTGACATCATAGGCAAGCTTCATGGAAGTCAGGATGTAAAGCACGAAGAAGGGCGTCCCCAGTTCCAAGCGCAAACGCTCGGGAAGCGGGGTGCCATCCTCAGAGTTGATTGGCCGATCCACCCCCCCCGAAATCGCAGTTCGTAAATCTGCCTCTGATGAGTAGCTCATGCACCCCAGCTGTTACATCCAACAATCATGGGTGTTCAGCCCTAAAAACAGCGGCGCAGGCTACCCAAATGATCAAGGCTGCGGAAGAGTGACGACACGAAGGGAGTGAAGCACAGACAGTATGCGCGGAACATTCCGTTCTGTCCAGACCGCAGCTGAAATTCTGTGTGCGCTCACGGAAATTCTGGTTTACATCCAGCTTAGTGTTCTGACTTGTCCCACCGCCTCCACTACATCAACCAACGCCACCCCAAGCCCCGCAACCAACACCGCCGCGGACAAACCACTGACACCGTCTGACAGTGACAGTGACGACGTTAGCGATGCCCACTTATATCATGATCGCCACTAGCTCTATTACCCTTGCTGCTGCCTTTTCTCCTGTGACTATCAATACTCGTCTGCTTGCAGCCGAGGCTTCGTATGCTGAGCATCCGTCAGGCCCGAGACACCGGAACAGTGTGAACATGGAGCTCGGCATTGAGGAGAACTCCTGAGCACAAGTCCATGCAAGTCATGTCGGAGACTCAAGCCTGTCAGTACTGCATTACATGCAAGCAAGTTGCCTCCACATCGCTGACAAGCCTCAAGAGCAACGTGAAGCAACGTTTTCCGACGGCTGTGCTGCCTCACGCCCTCTTACCTTGCAGGCATAGCACCGCATGAGCACGCCGACGGTGTAAATGATAAACATCAGCAGCACAATGGCCCAACCTCGTGAAATCATGAATGAGTGTGGTGCAGTTGGCTTCCTGTGGGTCACCTTTCTTCCAAGCCGCCCAGTGCCCGAAGCCCCGAGAAGAGCCCCAAGACCATCAGCTTCAGCTCTCGAAACATGCGGAAGCGCATCAGCCGGACCTCCAGTGACACCAGACTATGAATGCGTTAAGCAGTGGGTACCGACATGCCAAGACACCAGGCGCGCTAGGCGTGCGAGCCGAAGCCTCAGCTTGAGAAGCCGGGCCCACCGCGGCCCGCTGGGGCTCCAGCTCAAGGGTGCAGGGGATTCTGAGGATGCTGCATTCGCATCAGCATGAAACCTGCAATGGGTAGCTGTGGAGCTCACTTTTCTGCGGTCCTAGCAAGCTACGCGGCCTCCTTGGCCATCTAATGTGGGATTTACTGTGTAGGTCACGACCAATTCCTCACATTGCAGGTGGACGCTTCCACAGCCAGGAGGAGTGAGCAAGAAGCTATTTCGAGCGAGGGACGGTGAAGGAGACTATGAGACACGTGTTGTCAAACCAGTTCCAAGCAGCCTCTTCCCCTGACGGGACTGTTGCGCAGATTGGCACCTCCATGGGGCACATCACTCGGGCCCGGACCAAAATAATATCCATTACACCCTTGCAGGCAAAGCTTGATGATGTATTCCAAGGTGTAGTAGGCAAAGAAGCCCTAGCAGCATCAATGTTCAGGCCCTGCATGACTCTCAGGCAGCATCTGCCGCTTGCTGATCAACGTCCAAGGCTCCAGTTCTGCGATGTCCCAACCAGGGTTGGAGGGCGACAAGTCTGTGCTGAAGCCCATGACCAGCGCGTTGGCGATGATCACTAGGACCTGTGAAGCGCAAGGACAAGAAGAAACATCAAACCGTACTTGATCCCGCTTCACTCTGAGATGCTCAGGGCGTTGCTGAAACAACATCGAAAAACACTGCCTCAGACTACGCGCGCTGTGTGACGGCACGTGCGCCACACAGACTCGAATCATCAACCAATGCAGCTCAGAAGCACAAATGCCCCTCATCCGATGCGCATTAGTTTGCAGCTTCCGGTCCTGTAGGAACCGGAGTTGACGGACTTAGCAATCAGCATCCGTGGCTTAAAACACACCAGAGTGTCGTGGTTGTGGCTGCTTGGACAAGGGCTACTCGACGAAGCCCGCAACTCCGGCCAGTGAAGTTTACAAACGCCGCTCGATCTTTCTGCGAGGGCTACAGTCAAATTCAGACACCGAGGTTTCCCACGTAAATGAAGGAGCACAATGCTTTACAAGACTTCCTCATGGTAGCTTGCAAAGACCGCAGGTCCAATATACCGTTACAATTAATACCATTAGAAACATCCTTACTATTACTACTGTTATTGCTAGCGTTACTCTTGTTATTCCTGTTATTGCTATGACCTATTTCATTTCTTATTACCGATTATTCCTATAACTTAGGAGGACCCCCCACCCTGTAATAGTGGTGTAATAGGAATACAAGAGGACCCTAATATAATCCTATTATCCCCTATAGTCCATATAGTCACCATTACTGGGTGGGGGGTCCTCCTAACCTATAACTGTTTCCATTCAGGCTGCCAGTCCTGCTCGTTTTGCAGTCGCTCTTTGGCCTCCGCTCGGATGGCCCGCCTCCAATAGTAATAGTAGTAGAATGCTATATATCATTGTTACTATTGCTGTGTAATAATACAGGTGATAATGACAATACAGGTAATAATAGCAACAATAATACTGTAACAATAAAGCATTTGTAATACTAAAAGCAGCACTGGCATCTGTTGATGTGACCCGGCTGGACCCGTATTTCAGCGCCGGATCTTCAGTGCTGCTGATTGTGAATCAGTCATTTTTTCCACGGTTGTTTTCACCCGCCTAGCATGTCATGCCACAGTCATGGCATGTTTGGGGGTAAGTGGGAACATGGGGTTCTCCATAGAGAGCAGACCTGGATGGCATCAGGCATGTACTCAGCGAAACGCGCCGGGAGCACGCATGGACGATTTCTAACAGTCTGCGAGGCATGAAAAACTTGTGGAGAGGCAGTGAGAACATGTGGGACTCTATAAGGCGATGGGGGCACTATGGGGGCTGCGAGTCACGTACTTCAATGATGGGCTCATGACCCTGGTACCTTTAACCATGTGTTCCTTCCCGCTGACAGGGGAGTCTGTCAAGGGCCCTCGCGTGCAAGAACGCAACTGTGCCTGAGCGCGTCAAGGGTGTCCTGGACCTGGGGCAGCAGGGCTTGCTGAACTGGCAACCACCAGCGGCAAGTTAAAGCGGGGTATAGGGTGATCCTTTCCCAGGGTGTCGAATTTTTATTCGTTACCATGCTGCACTTGAAATAGAAGTTTCGGCGACTGTCACTCAACCCCAATAATGTCAAGCCGGAGGCTGAATAAATGAACAAAATAAGACAGGTTTCGGAAGCCCTTTCAAAATCCTGCAGCGTCAAGGCTCTCTTCAACGGCTCAGTGCAACCCAGCAACAGTGTCTTCCAAATGTTCCCTCAGATGCGTGGGGTGCGCCCATGCTAAAAATGAGATGCAACGAAGACAAAAGTAGCAAAACATGAGGTTAGTTTTAAGGACATGCAGCAGCGCAAGTTCTGTTTTCCGTTGTGATGACTATCTCTTGAGCAGAGGTACACTTCTTCCCCCTCAGGCGACATCAGGGAGCAAAAGCCTTCAAAGCTAACTCCGGGCGTCGGCCTGGCATGTGCTGAAGCGAAGAAGACAGCGTGCAAACTGCATTCGAAAAGCACACGATGCAATGGGCAGCTGTTCCTGCAGAAGACGTGCTGAATGCTTGAGCCTTGCGGGAGGCGAGCTGGAAGAGGAGGAGGAGGAGGACTGTGCTTCCATCTTCTGACACCTCAGAAAGCGGAGCACCCTACCATCTGCCATGCTAGGCCAAGTTGGGCATTTCTCAACGTTGTGGTCCCCCAATGCACCACACAGTCAAGAACCCCAAAAGACATATGATCTCAAATGTCTATCTTTCACCGAGGTCTTTCATGCTGCAACCAAATCACGGATCTACATAACATCTCAAAAAAGGGGTCAGTGGACATACGACAAAACAATAGGATCCCTTGTCAAGTTGTGTGGGGACCCACCCAAAACCCATCCCCCCGCACCCTCCCCCAAGTTACCAATTCAAACCCTAAACCCTAGACCTTAAACCATGCACCCGAGGGACAGGTCCGCTACATCTACCTCCACGAGCTTCTCCCCGAAGCGGTCTGCGAGCTGAGCCAAAAGGCCTGCACCTTGGCTATTCCGGACTGGGAGTTTCCCAAACTTAGGGGTACCATTTTGGGGGGTCCCAATATGAAGGGCTATCGTACTTTGGGATCTATTTTGGGGGGTCCCCAATTTAAGGAAAGTACCACTTTATCTTGTCCATAATAGATGAAACCTCTGATTGGGATCAGCACAATGCTGTGATGCCAAAGTGTCGCCGGGGTCCTACTAAGGGTAACCCTGCGTTGAGATATGCAAATATTGCTCTGAACCAGCTCGGTCAGTAAAAGGCCTCTCCCAATTTGGGACTGTTGCGGCTCCCACAGTACTGGTGCAATATTGCGATTATTGCTGTAGCATGTAGTCTATTTCAGCCTCGTATGGGACAGTGACATTCTCAAAATCACGGATCCGATAGTTGGAGACATAAAGAGGTGTACCTGGGCTTGGGCTGTACGCTTGACAGGCGGTATGATGGATTTCGGTTCCTGCTTAGCCGATTTTTGCACTGTCCTCTACAATAAGTGACAGCTTACATGTAATTATGTCCTTCCCGCCTATTGATCATACATGCGATTACGGTGCAACAGATATGCAAAACAACAGCACATGAAATGCTTCTGGCTTTGTTCTCAACTGTGAAAAATTTTCCGGGCGCCCTTCGGACCGTGGTGATACTCTGTCGCCGAGTCTCTCAAGAAGCCCCGCTTGGTGATGTCCAACCTATGTCACAGCTGTCCCAAGTGGCATGGCGCAACATGATAACTAATAGCAGGACACATGCAACATGTACGGCACCTAAAGGCGCGCACAAAGTTGCAACTTCTGTGCTGAAGACTAATTAGTTTCCATGTTCTTCCCATTATCCGCGTATTATCCTCATCCTGTCATCCTCATAGTATCTCTACATAACCCTAACCCCGTATCTGCCATAATCATCTTCTTTACACAATGAGCCCAGGTCGTCACCTGGCCCCTAGGTCCAGAGCCAAGGCGAAATTCTGCCCTCCTGTTGGATCTTAATGGATAATAGAATAGAGAACCGAAACGTATGGAAACTACTAGATTATTATAGGGGTATATAATAGGGGTTAATGGTTGTCATACTCCCCATCCGACGAGCATGACAGAAAAAAATCCACACTGCAAAACCCTGTGCAAGCATACCCAACCAGGCAACAAAGCTAAGCTGACCACCGGCGGAACTGGAGTTTGAGGAGGTCTTCGCGGACCTTCCGCACGTCTTGCGCGTCAACTGGCTCCGCACCTTTCCATGGCTGGTTCTCAAGGGCCAGGTGGTTAGTATGGGGCGGATGCGGTGGGATCCACCTCGGGCTACAGGTATGTCAAGGGGCTCATCGATGTGGATGCCACTTGTACGTAACTTCACAATTGGGAGGTTGCACAGGCAAATTTAAGATTTTGACGGTCTATTTGGCCCAGCTTATAGAGTTTGATTGTCAGGGCTTTTGGTTGTTGCCATGAAGGTACACAAGCAAAATCGGATTATGTCCCCGGCTGGCATGTTCCTGAGTGCGCCTGCCATGCCCTCATCTTCCAGGGACCGCAGCACCGTGTATCGCGGAGATGCTTAACAAGCCTAAGCTATCAATGATTACCTATACCTAATACCATTTTAAGGTCCATGTCAGGTACCCTATACTGTAGATATACAAGGAATCTAGGACCACGATGTTGGCAATTCGAGCACCCATAGTATCACCCTTTTCCTTCCTGCCAGTTGCTGGCTAAAACGCTGTTGCTTGTTGGACCTGCTTGAATGAAAAGGCCTCCTTAACGTGTTTGTTCTGAGACTGTCCTTGCAGAATCCAGACCATACACGGACCCTTTCAATCAATCATCAGAACCTTCACACAGAACCATGGGAGGCTAACCCTGTTGTTATGGTGGGGACCCTAGGGATGAAAGAGGTTCGCACATTTATTAGTTCATCATTGGCAAAACTATAGGGCCCTTTAAAACTTTAGGTTATAGACATAGAAAGATATTACGGCATCTGATATATTGGGGTTCCAAAAGAAGACCTAATTTGGGGAACTACTTCAGCGGGGGGGTTCTTTCTGCGCTCCAAGGCGCACTGTAGTGGCGCGAGTTCTCGCGCTGCTCCTGCACGAACTTTCTTATGCAACAGTACTCGAAAGATACCAAAGCCACAAGCATCTGCGCATCGCATTTGAAGCTCAACAATCCATAAACCAATGACATGAGCATCCTCCTTGCCCGCTCTTGGGCTTGGCTAGGCGGAGGCGGAATCTGCCATGTAAGCTTCAGCCTTGCCAAACATGGGGCTGAGGTTGCAAAGCTGGACATGCCTGAAATTCAAAAGGTCTACCCGAACTAGAGTAAGCGAACTATGAGTAAGCACTCTGGATCATGCCGTAGGTCTAAGTGTGAGATCATAGGTTGGCACACGGATTGGTGCTCTGCCACTCTGAGGCTACAACTCTGCATCCCGCTCCTGCTATGCCAAAGGCGAAACAGTGGCAGGTAGCAGTCGGTGTAGCAATACGTGTACATGTGGCCGACACAAAATTCATGCAGCCAATAGTACTTCTCATGTTGCCACGCCATTGCAAAAAGCTGCGTTGTAGCAATGAGGGTGCTCCTCCAGCTCTGTGCAGCTATGCCATTCGAAAAAATTACATCATGGAATTGAAAACCTCGCGGATCACCTCCTCGTTGGCTTTGGGCGCAAACTCCACGCCGCCGTCTCCTGGCCTTAGCTGCTTCAAGCGAGATGGCTGCAAACCTCAC